GGGGTGGGCAGTAGGGGCTAAATATCAGTTTGATTTCCCTTCTCTTCCTCCCCCATGAAAACGTTTTCTGTAAAACAAAGCTTTTACCTCGCTCAACATTGCCTTCTTGCAAGTTGCGTCCTCACCTTCTCCTCTTAAATGTTCAACGACTTTATCTGCTGTGGTACGGTCATGTGTAAAATCACAACGTGCCATTTTGGGAATGAAGACGTTTGTAACAGGAGGACGAGTTCAATCCATGAAATATGGGAATCATTCATACAGCTGTGGGAGATATTGGGGGAGTCTAGCCCTGAAAATGTCATACCGATTGCATCACGTGTATGAATTCTCAAAGTTGTTTGCTCCAACCGACTGGGCATCAATCATAGCTGAATTGAGAACCCCGTCCATTTATTGCAAAACAGACAGTGGTTTATTTTCTGTTGTGGTGAAATATGTAAGTAATCCAAGAAAGTAATTTGGCTATTTGGATTCGAATGGTTTATTTGGTTGGATGTGTTCTGCAGTCCTGTGTAATTTGCTTTTACTTGTTATTGTCACATGTTCAAGCTACTAATGCTGTTCTCAAAGTGAACAACATTCTAGACACTTGGCATTTGTATTGCCCCAAGGCGGACCCCTACTCCAGAACATTATTACATTCAAATGTGTTGCTTACATCTAATAGTCGAGATCAGAATCAGATATTATTTTCAACTGTGATGGGGAGGTGGGGTGTGGGGGGTGTTGACTTCACTAAAAGTCATGAGGTGTATCACAATTTGAACATGATGTAGCATGGTGCAATCTACTGGAACTGTTGCTTAGCAACAAATATCTGACTCCTGGAGATACAGTGATATGCGCTGGGGGCGTGCAAAATTTGACAATTCTGCCCGCATTTAGATCTGATGCAAATGATTTGCGGAGCCAGTATTACACTTGTGTTTTTAAAGGGTGCAAACAATGTTGTTACAAGTTAAGTATGTTCGCATTTCACAAATGGTGCATTTTCGTTGAAACTACAATGAAGACAAGTAGACAATTTACCACATTCCAAACAAAGCATCGTGTGTGTGTGTGTGTGTGTGTGTGTGTGTGTGTGTGTGTGTGTGTGTGTGCGCGCGCGCGTGCGGGGAGTTTGAGACAAGCTTTTAGCCGACAAATTATACTTAATTAAAGTAACATAAAGCTCATTATAATATGTAGCCAACAGTTATAGTTGATGTGAATACCCTGGATGTCTAATTAGATTTGTCGCCATACAAAAATTCAGTTTAGGGTTGAGTACCTAGTTAGGTGTTTTGTTGATGCGGGTTTTGGCATATGAGATTTTTTAATCATATCAAATTTCCTTGACTGTAATCATGTTTAAAAGACACAAAATGTGACTAAACTACTTCAGGTGTGCCTCATTGAATTGGGCATGATACGCCTTCTGGAGAGAAAAAAAACCCTTTTTTGTTATCACTGAAGCAGCCAGTCCTTTCCCTGAGAAGAGAATCACTTATATACACAAAATAGCCTCGACAACAACATTGAGACAACTAAGACAATAATGTGATGTTTGGATGAGTCTTGTGACTTGTGTGATTCAGATCTTTTAGTTTGTTTTGGCTCTTCAGCGCTTGACTGGTAAGTATATTTAAATATAGCCTAATGTTGTACGGCCAAATAAGACAATATTATTTGGAACAACACCACTGATGGTGTAATGGTTCGCTTTTCTCCAGGCGGCGGTTGTTTATTGATGTGTAAATCTAAGTGTGGATTGTTGTCTGATCCTATGTGTAGTCTGTTATTGACTGGCCCAAACAGCAGAGGATCTAGCATGCAGCAACCCTGAACAGGATAGGCAATACATAAAATGGATGCATTATTTGAAACAGAAATGAGATTCTTGGTGAAATCTGCAAGAATGGATGTTGCAACCAATCGACTCATTATCACAACAACAGGTATTAACGCAACAGAGGCATGGAAAAATACAACAAATATGTTTTGTGTGGATATTAACTTGTGTAGACCTCTTCACCTTGGTCACCTTAGTGTGAGAGGGAACAATGTTTTTTGTTGTTGTTTTTCAGCTGAGAAACAGTTCAACTAAATACAAGAGTATATGAATAAGTCTTTGGTCATGTTTTGCACATTTCTACTGAGGTAATAGTTCTAATATCGGCGCACTGGAGCTCGAACAGAAAACGCCTCAGAACTTTCAGACTTCTTTTTGGCTCTCAGATCACAAAAAGATCACCAGCATGTTGTGAACGAAGAGTTTGGGAAAAAGCATAAGGTACCAATCAATCAACATGGTAAGAAGGTGCTAAGTAAATAGCAAAACCTTGAAATCGTATCTCGAATGGAACAGGAGCCAATGCAAGTTGGCTCGTAATGGTAATATGATCAAACTTTCTCGTCCTTGTCAAGAGTATAGCTGTAGCATTTAGTACTAACTGCAGACTTCTAATCTTGGACATAGGAAGACCAGAGAGCAGTATGTTGCAATAAAAATTCAATTGCAGTAATATTCTTAGGGTGCATTTGAAAAGCGAGAGTTGATCCAAACATGTCATGACGATTTTTTTGCTTAACCGTTTTGCGTAATAGTACATTTGTCAAGACTCAGAGTGGTGTCTTTCAATTGGTGAGGATGACGAACATCTGTTTCATCGGAATTAAGAAGCAAAAACTGAAAAACATCCATTGTTTGATCACGGTAAGGCATACCTATAGAGTACAATAATTGCAAAGATTTGCTTTGCTAACGGCAAATAAAATTGGGTATCATTACCTTACCAGCGGCCCGGTGGTCGAGGGGTTAGCGCATTGACTTCACAGTGCAGAGGTATCGGGTTCAATTCCAGCTCCGACCACCATGTGTGGAGTTTGCATTTTCTCCCCAGGCCTGTGTGGGTTTTCTCCGGGTACTCTGATTTCCTCCCACATTCCAAAAACATTCATGGCAGGCGGATTGAACACTCTAAATTGTCCCTAGGTGTGAATGTGAGCGCGGATGGTTGTTCGTCTCTGTGTGCCCTGCGATTGGCTGGCAACCGGTTCAGGGTATCCCCCCCGCCTACTGCCCGAAGACAGCTGGGATAGGCTCCGGCACCCGCCGCGACCCTTGTGAGGATAAGCGGATCTGAAAATGGATGGATGGATGGATTAACTTACCAAGATGAAGCATGTCGATACTGAACAATAAAAGGCAAAGTACCGATCCCTGCGGGACTCCACATGTAACATTCCAAATCTCAGAAGTTAAATTCCCATGAATTATACGGTGCATCCTCTCAGAGGTAAGAACTAAACCATGAAAGTGCTGAGCCTGAAATACCAACACATTTTCTGAGGTATTCTAATAGTATGTTATGATCGATGGTGTCAAAGGCAGCGTTAAGATCGAGGAATAATAATATTGATGAGGTGTCAGGGTCCGGAGCTAGGAGAAAATCATGAGTCACTTTAGCAAGGGCCGTCTCATTCGAGTGGTCGGCTGTAAATCCTGACTGAAGAAGTTGAAATCGATTGTTAGTGGCCGTGCAATC